CAATGTCCTACCCTAGCTTGTACGATCTCATTAGGTCCGTCATTTTGAACCTGACCCGCTCTGCGGTACCGGATGCCTCGCTGCCTCCTGCTCTACTATTATGGCTAATCTCTAGCTCGAGGCGCTTCATTTCAAGCTCGTGCTTTCGCCTCTTATCTGCCTCGGCTTCTGCCGCTTTCCTTTCGGCCTCCGCCGCCTTTCCTTCGGCCTCGGCCGCGGCCGCCTTTCTTTCGGCCTCTGCCGCTTGCCTCTCCTGAATCTCCTCGACACATTCTGACAGCTCATCATCCTCCGCCCCCAATGCGAGAATCGCCTCTACCAGCTCTGGCTTTCTTTGAGAGTCCGACACCTCAAGATTCAACTCCCTTGCAAGTAGCAACAACATGGACTTTCGCAGGGATTTCAGATTCATGGCTGCTTCCAGTACCGCTGTCTCTGTTCCACAAAGATTCCTGTCCTGCAACTAATTAACCTTGACGGCAACGACAGCTCTAGATACCTGCCTTGCCTCAAGTTTTCCGTTAACTTAGTCTACCAATAAAGCTTCAAAAGCTCTTACACGGAATCCTGCCCTGTCACTGTTAACCTTGACGCCACTGACAGAAAGAGCTTAATCAAGCTATCACACAATTTCTGCCTGACGCAAGTTACCTGTTAACCCAATGACCAAGACAGCCCCTCTCTACCAGCTTTTACTTAACACATAGAGTAAATGCCTGGTAAAATTTAACAGAGAAAGCCGGCACTCACCCAGTTCGCAGTCATGTCTCCGGCGTCCGTGCCTCTCAGAAGTGCCGTTCGGTTCCCTTTGGAAGTCGATGAGCTCGTGTAATCCTTCTCCTGTCGTCCCGTTGTTGAACTTCAGGCTCACTCCGTCCAATGGTCGCTTTCGGGGTTATCGCATCCCACCGCTGGCCACCAGTTGTTGGGACTCCGGGTCCCTGCCGGTCGCGTTTTCGGTAGCTGGGCACCGTCGCAGGAGCCATCGTCCCAACAATTCAGCGAGAAAGAAGCGTCCGAACAACGACAGAGATTTATTACTGTGGAGAAGTGTTCAACTGATCCAAAGAGAGAAGAGTGAGAGTGGTACAAAACTTCATCGCTATTTAGTAGTGCCGCGTCGTTGACACTGGGCCGCGCTTGTCCGCATCGTCAGCCAATACGGTGTCCCCGGCCACCTCGGCCACTAGGGAGGGGGAAACACCTCTCACAACACATGGAGTGGCACAACCTAACACGATGTCCATATATGGTCCCGGCGCCCTAAAAATGTTACCAACATGGTCACAAAGCGCAAGGAAAATTTGTCGCCGAGTGTAGCACCTCGTCTCCGTCGGAAAGAGGCCACCGCGGTTAGTGATGTTCCGTTCTATGGGCCGAAAAATATCCCCATTCAGAGGCATAAAAGTTCCCTATTTCGGGGGGCATTCCCTGGAAACATTGACGAAACACCCAGCATATCTCCCTGTACAACAGTACTCATTTCCACCCCCATGCACGCACACACGCACTATATTTACAAGTGTCTCGCGTACTGGCGACTTTTGAAATCATTACTAGCCCCTCCACTGCCGCAAAACAAAAGCATGACTTCATATACTGTTAGTACACTGCACACCGTGGGTTTCATGTCTAACACCAATAGTGAACTGGAAATCACTCCGCGTAAATATTAGAAACGTATCTCAAAGGTTATGCTTGCGTGGTGCGTGCATCTGAGCCGATTACAGCAAATGAAGGCGCACTGTGACCGCTAATTATCGATAATCATAAAAGAATTTACCCTTTCCTGAAAATCCCAGCAATATTACAAAGATTCTCTTTTTCCCTTTGGCTCAAAATTACAAACGAAAGTTGCCCAGAAAAAACCAGCACACACCTTGTGTTGGCAATTCTATTCAATCGAATTGCCTTTCACTCACCCCATCACCACACACTTCCATCGCCATGCGTCAACGGAGACTGAATGACATGACTGGCTGGCGGCGATTAACACCGATCCAGACTGAGACCGCACGAATGCCGGCTGTCGTCCAGCGGCCCACCGTATGAAACAGATGGTGGCTACACAATCGCTACATGCTCAACGCGCAGTTTTTTTTTTCTTTTGACTATATAGGCAATCGAAAGTGCAGCAAGTGTTGCAGTGGAACGCGTTTCTACTCCACACCCCGTGAACACGTAGCACTCGCGATCCGCGCGTCACGTTAGGTTTCGCCATTGCTTGCGTGTAACAATCTGCAACAATCTGCAAAGAGTGACATGAAACAATGTCCAACAGATGCGTGGAACGGATATGCAGCACTAAGATGAGTAAGTTGAAATAACTAAAAACAATCAACTGCGTAAACAGTTTCAGGTCAGTCGTGGCAACATTTTTTCTGTATTAGAAACATAGCTCTTCAACAACCACGAGTGTGATTTTCAAACGCTGCCAAGGCCGACATTGGTTAATAGGAGAGGGAGAGAGAGATAAACTTTATTGTTTTCCGGCAGAGAGAGAGAGAGAGTAATAAAGATGCAAGGAAAGGCAGGGAGGTTAACCAGACGCACATCCGGTTTGCTACCCTGCACTGGGGAGGGGATAAAGGGGAAAAAAGAGGTTGCAGAAAGATGAGAAGGTACACACAATCACGAGCACACTCGGGGAGCACACACAGTCTAGAGGCGGTCGCTTAGGTTTGTTGACTTAAGGTAAAGTAGTAGTACTTTAGTTGCTTTCTGCGCAACTGAGGCAGATGCCCAAGGTCCTAGTATCTTCTGCACACAAAATGGATTGCTGGGATGGGCTCCCACCTAGGGGCCAACGGATAGACCGTGTCTCTAGGCAGCTTCCTTGGCCTGCTGGATCGCCCAAAGTTGTTTGTCCAGGCCCGAACTGAGCAGTGCAGTCCGCCAACGCGCCCGAAGGTCTTCATTGGAGGCCGCGACCCCAGAACTTCTGACTAATGCTGGACATTCTCATAGGATATGGTCAAGAGTGGCTCTGGTGGTACAGTATATACTGGCATAGATCAGAACTATAGACGTCGGGATATATGTGGTGCATGACGACAGGGTTCATGTATGTGCGTGTTTGTAGCTGCCGCCACTGAACAGACTGGGCCCGATTCAGCTTGGGGTGAGGCGGAGGGTACTCCCGCCTTTGCAGTCGATAGTGTTGAATTACGCCATTAAATTTAGTGAGCCGATCGTCCCATTCCCACACCGGCGCAGAAAGGTCCGTTTGGGTGTGGTTGTTAGGAGACCTTAAAAATTAGTAAATCTTAAAGCTTCGCCTTTAGCAGTCGAACGCGATCCATAGCGGTACCCTGTCCTTAGTGCGTTCTTCAAGCACTCAGTGCGTTAAAGCTTTTTGAACTTGCTACGCAGCCCACTACGTGGCGTTAAGCGAATAGGCGCAGTATAGCTTGTGCGACTTTTGTAGTGGGTGATCGGCTACAAGCAAAGAAGTCAATATGATAATCACAAGTTCTGACACCCGATGACAATGTACGTTTGGACCACGCATTATTCCAGCAATACTTCGTGTTGTATTGTGATGAATGCACGCAGATTGCGCGTGTTTCTACGGTACGAAGGTTAGTTTCACTGCATTCCCAAACAGAGAAGTTATTTTCACTGTATTCACAAGCCGACGCGCGGCCGTGGAACATGCTACGCGTCTGATGCTGGTGACCTCATATGGATGGCGCTCGTCCACAGAGGGGGATGGGCCAAGAACCGGGCGGCAGGATACGTGAATGAAACTAAAATGAAATTAAAACCAATCTGAAAAAATTAGTTTAGAAATAATACTGCCAACAAACAAAATTGTTTGCTGAGCAAGCGGTAAAACCATGTATTGATCCTGACAGACATCGCTACGAATTATGAACTAAGGATCTGGAAAGGTTAAGATTCACTAGCACGGTAATCTCTTTTGTGAATGCACAGAACTTCATTAATATTCGAGTGTTTCCTCAGTAACGCTACAGCGCTTATTGTCGCTGTGTTGTGGTACTCATGTTCTATATATACTAGTAGTGTCATTTTGTGTTTGTTATAGCACACATTTTAATAAATACCGCGAAAGCGAGAACACGAAGCATGGCCGTGTGCTATAATATCCGCTTGCTATGCAAGCTACCCGAGTTTGATCCCCCCTCGAACCCAAACAAGCCGGGTTTAATCTTCTCTGTCACCCACGATTTTCAGGGGCGAAGCTCCTTGAAGCGGCACCCGTTCGTCCCTCGTCGCAGTCGTAGTGCGTAACCAGTCTTACGCTTTGACCTGCAAGGTGTTGCCGGTGGGAGATTACTCCTGTGCGTGGTTGAACAATAAAAAAACGCAGCGTGCGCGATAACTAAAAGCCCAATTCTCATGTGTCCCATTCCAAATTAGCAGCCATTGGCATATACATTGAGCACTAACTAACAAGAAATGGTTGCTAGGTTATACTCGCTGGGCGTAACCTCCACGGTTTTAGAACGGTTTAGCGAGCGTTGGGTCGCACTGCCATGAATACAGTGAACTAGTATATACCATGAACTCGAGGTGGTTAAAGGTGGGAAGTAGAGCCGAAGCGCAAGCCGTAAGAAAGTGTGCGTGTGACACCTCTCGTTTAGTCCTTTAATCTAACTCACTGTCTTTTGTTTGTTTGTTTTTTTGTTTTTTGTCGTAGTGCTCGCACTTAGCGCCATCCTTACGGTCTGTGCGCAGGAAATCTGTTAAGAACAATGAAAAGTCCAATTGTGGCCTGACTCCCACAATTTTTTCCGTCAGGTGTACGAGTACTCCTTTCGGTGGGGTCATGCTACTCTGCTTCGGGCAGCGCTATGCTACTCTGTTTAAAGGGAGTACTTTGACCCTTTCAGGGGTGAATAGATAGACTCTGCATCAAAAAAGAGGTGATTTACTGTGGAAACGAGAGAAATATAGGACAAGAAAGTACCCTCCCAAATAGAGTGCCAGCTCTCTTTTAGTTCTTAGAGTGTAGGGATAGTACTTATGTGACTATGTTTCTTCAAAACTTTGACATTTTATTGTAATCAGCAGTTTTGCATTGAACAGCCATCGAATCTCACACATGTCTCTTGTTGCTGTATAAAGAGAGGTTTCAATTGACAGAGCTTTTAAGGAAGGCATCTGCGTAATAGGCAAATTGGTGCGAATATTTGCATGTTTTCCATTGGGCACTCCTGTCTTCTAAACCACATATATCTCAAACATTTGCGACGTCATAATTTCTTGGACGGTCACGATAGGCGGCGAACAGATTCCTGCACCAGCTCTCTGCATTCCTCACGGTCTTTACCCGAAGCCTTAACAAGCGCATTGAGCAGCGAATCAGCCGTCGAGAGAAGCCGCAAGGCCTGTATCGACTCTGCTTCCGCTGAAGAGTTCAACACACACTCGACAGCACGACAAAGATAGGCGTGATTCCTATCCAATATGCTGAAGATGGGGTGCATTCCGATATCGGGCGTGTACTCGGAGTCGAACGTGAGGAGAACGAAGTTGCTCTGTAACTCATCCGCCAGTGACCGAACGGCCCGCTCTTTCAGATACACAGCCTTAAACTCCAGAAGATACAAGGTCCGGTTCGTGCGCATCAAGTCCTGCAGACCTTTGGTGAGCTGATCTATGAGGTAGCATTCGCGGAACCTGGCCTCGCTGACGCTGTTGTTTCGGGCGAGGCCCCAAATGACGCCGTCGACGAAGTTGTAGCAGTGGTCCCTCACTATCACTGTAAGCTTCTTCAGGGTGTGCGTTCTCTCCAGAAAGGTCACGATAGCGTCGCTGCACCCGACGGCGACTCTTTCAGGACAACTGACGACTAGCTCTGTGATCGAGACATGGGTAACGCTCACAGCACAGAACAACTTGTGAACGCCAGACCCCTCCGCATCCTTGTTCCAGCCGACGGTGAGTCGAGGAAAGTGCTTTGCTCCTCCTTCTGGTAGCGAGGATGCCCAGTCTTCAAGACCACGCGTGTGCCACGTAACGTCCAGACGAGCGCAGATGTTCGCGGTAAGGGGCGTGCTCGGTGTCCAGTCCTCCGGACAGTCGATGTCCCCGAGTCGAACGCACTCGACCGTAGTGTTTAGAGCGAGTGCTTTCACGAAGCTGGACAAGCCGTCGTAACTACACATGCACTCGGAGATGTCCAGGCGCTTTAGAGTCGAGTTCGTCAGCAAGGCCTTGGCTAGTGCTCCAGCTCCGAGATCACCGATGCTGTTATCGGAGAGGCAGACTTCTTGAAGCACGTTGTTCTCCCGCAGAATACCCGCCACGGTTAACGCGCAGCTGTTTACCAGGCCGACGCCGACGAGTTTGATAGATTTGAGTCCGCGGTTCACTCTCAGCGCCTCAAAGCCGTCCCAAAGAACGTGATTTGGCTCGTCGTACGAATATATGAGACTCATCTCCTCTAACGTAGCGTTGTCCTTTAGTGACTGAAGCAGCGTTCCAACTGCGTCTTTTTCCAGCCATTCTATGGTAAGCTTTCGTAGCGTTCTGTTCCGCTTTAATGCGTCGGACAAGACGGCGGCATTGAATAGCGGCAGTCTTTTGTTACACCTGACTTCGAGCTCGCTCAAGGAAGAAGAATATCCGACGGCGCGGAACAACCTTCTCGCAATCTTGCTCGACGCACCGTTAGAAATCAAGAGACGACGCAATCTGCCTCTTCTAACCGCCTCGGCTATTCCTCCCAACGATACAACGGTAGGCACCAGTTCATTGATCACCAAGGCATCCAGTAGTACAGACAACTTCCCAACGGTGGAGGAGAGGATGTTCATTGCTCGCGTTTCGCGCCAGACGCCCCTCAGGTCCCTGGGGTGAAACCGAATCTCTTCGAGTCCTTTGTTTTGTCGGAGAGCTTTGCAGAGCAGCGCAGGGAAACTGCAAAACAATACTGCCGCGTCACCCAAGTCCAGACGCGTGACACATCGATGCCCTTTTAGGAGCCAATAGACCAAGGTGGCGCTCTCCAGAAGGGTGCTCTCTGATTTTTCGTAATTTGTGTACACGTCCGGGAAAGTGGTCAGGGCGAACTTGCCGGGAGCATGTTCGAAGACGTGCATGCCAACGTCGCGCATCAGTACGTTCAGAAAGCACAGGCGGTCCTCAATCCAGCACCGGCTCAGGTTGTCCGCAGTCTTGCTGCATGTCTTGTCCAGGTCTACGCCGGAAGCCTTAAGCCTGAGGGCCATTCTCTCGACCGTGGCTGCGAGTCGCGTGTAATCCACGCAGGGGATTTCCCTCTTGATGTCGCCGAGAAAGCTGGTCCGCGACAGCATGCTGCCGAGATCCTTTTCTGCAACGAGAACGCCAACAGGCCCTAATTAGTCGTAATAGGATGATCAATCAAGAAATATGTTGACGCTATTCATGCACAGGTAAATATTTCATAAAACAACCATCGGCAAAAATGTTCCGAAGCCGGGGTGAGTTCATGATTAAATATATACCCCGACTTCACACAGCAAAGTATAACAAAAACTACTCACTAGTTTCAATATTCACTAGTTGAACAATTCTCCACTACGACCACTGCTGCTCCTGCCACTGGCCTTCACTGGCACTCTGGTCTCTCGTGTAAAGAACTTTCCTTTGCAATGGAACGAAGGCTACAGGGCCAGATCACGCGCTGCCTACTGCTAATTAATGTAGTACTGAGTTTGTGTCCTTATTTTCAAATGTGCAAAATACTGCCTTCAATTTTTTCCTGTAGCTATTTTGACACACGAAGCCACTCACAAGGGTATATTCCGATTTCGTTTTAAGTTATTCGTCGTCACTTCGCGTTTTCAAACGCACGAGAAGGTCGCGCCTTTTACGTGCACTTCGAACGCCAAGCGGCGTCTGCGTCGGTATGACGCTCATCGCGCACAGCAATTTCCACAGCGGTACGGAACGCACGACCTGCCGGACCACTTCGCGTAGTGGTACATGTGCAGAAGCTCCGCCCCTGTAACTTTACCTTCATTGCCTCGCCGTATTGGTCTAGTGGCTAAGGAACTCGTCTGTTGACCCGCATGTCGCGGGTTCGAATCCCGGCATCGGCGGCTGCATTTCCGATGGAAGCGGAAATGTTGTAGGCCCGTGTGCTCAGATTTGGGTGCACGTTAAAGAACCCCAGGTGGTCGAAACTTGCGGAGCTCTCCACTACAGCGTCTCTCATAATCATATGGTGGCTTTGGGACGTTAAACCCCACATTTCAATCAATCAACATTCCCTTCATTGCCAAGAAACGTTGTCCGCGAGTACAGTTTGTTAACTCTTGTAAATGAGTAAATAAAACGGCTTGTTGGTGAAAATGAAGTTGGTACCGAAACTCGCGTCCCCAACAAACATACGCGTCTACTATTATACATATGCTGCGCATGCAGTGGCTGTTCACCTGATGAAAATTCGACCAACACTTTTCCTCGTTGTGAAATTGTAGTTCTTTATTGCCACAATTATATATTTCCCTGGTGTTCTTTCAACCAAACCGCAGTACGTTAACTAACGATAACTATAGTACGCAGACACCAACCGCACAGCAAGTTGTGCTCGTATAGGACAGCATGCAAGTCACTGTCTGACGGGAAGACGAAGAAGTGTGTTTTGAATAGGAGCTACTTCTGCTAACGCCGGCATATTTCAGTTGTAATTTAAGTCTGTTGATCAGTTTTCGCTGCTCCCTTGGAGGGTATGGATGTAGACCACCCCGGGCGTCTGCCGGCACCAGCGGCGTCAGCGGCGGCCGCCTCCAGGAAGCGGATGGGACAAGCGAGCGAAAGCGACAGTGAAGATACTCATGCTTACTATCTCAGCAGTGAGGACTTCTCAGATGACGGTTTCCAACCTGTGCCGAGCCGCAAGGCGAAGAGAAGAAACATGAGGACATCCTCATCCTCAACTATTCAAACTGTAAGTGAAGCGCCAAAATCGAACACTTATACCATCCTGTTTCTGCCTGCACTTCCTACCGTCAGCATGAAACGCCTTAACAGACAGTCTGTGTCGAGGTCTCTGGAAACGCTCGTGCCAAATGAGATCACGGACATAAGAGTGAACGCCAGAAAGAATATACTGGCTGTGGACGTTTTGCACGCAAGTGCGTTGGGCGTTCTGCGCAGTGTAACTGACTTGGACGGCAACCAGGTGCGCTCTCATGTTCCCTTGGGATGTGATGTAGTAACCGGCGTGATCTACGACATTGATGTCGCTATTTCCAATAATGACTTACAACTTCTTGTCAAGTCAACAACTGATACTCCAATTGTTGATGTCACCCGGCTAGGCAAGTCTCGCTGTGTGAAGATTGCGTTTAAGAGCACATCACTCCCCTCTCATGTGAAGGTGGGGTACTTCAGACATGCTGTGCGGTGTTGCGTAGCGTATGTTTATCAGCTCGCGACTGCTTCTGCGCAGAGCCGATAAGACGAGCGGACGAGACGACGGTGAGTTAAACAAGGTTTATGTACAGCATATATACAGAGGCGTTACAATTTCGGCACTGGGGCCGACAGAGACTCGAAGAGCCGAGCTTTCCTCTCTAACACATAGGTCAGCCTTTCGCCTAAGACCGCTGACTCACACACATGTCGGCCCTCCGACACGGGGACTCCTCTCCTAGGACCTCCGATCGCGACGCGCCGCAGGGCTTCTTTTATTTACACCGGGTCCAACCAAAATGTCCAATCAGAAGCGCCGCTGGTCGTCAGCGCAGATTCTTCCAATGGGGTTGCCGCGCCATGCGTCAGACCACCAGGCACGAGAACGCCGGCTCGCTGTCACGTGCGCCGCTGACTCAATGCACGTGGGCGAGAGAGGCGCCGCGCGTGTTCACTCCGTCGAGTTGATCGCGCCAGGCAGACTGCGGGCTGGCCTTGACCCAGATTGCCTTTTTCCGAGGCACGGACGTTTGACGAGGACTCGCTGGCATAACAGCACCCCCGCCGCCAGACAATGCACCGGAAAGACGAGCTGCTTCCACGGGGCTCGGATGTCAGGTGCGCTCGTTCGCCAGGTCCCTCCAGGTTCGCGTCCAGGGCCATGGGGAGAATACAGCTCCAAACTGTTCCGGGAACACATCCCATTTTTGACGACGGATCCCAGCTCCACTGGCTTGTCGCCACAACTTGTCGACCAGCTTCACTCGTCTCTTCTGACCATCTTCGGCTTCAGCACTTGTCGATGGTTCTGCAACTTGCCAAGAACGGATCGACAACAAACAACACACGACACACGCAAGTGCCCTCGGTCACCCGACAGAACACCAGACAAAGTATAGTACAACATATACCTATCTACGTGTCTATCGGAATTTTGTTCCCTCTACATCAAGAGGCACATGTGGGACAAAAGACCCCTAAAATGACAACTCAATTTTTTTATTTTCCCACGTACAACAACGTAACGGATTAGAATACCACATGAAGTTGGCCCCTTGAGATCACTCTAAACGAGAGCGCTCAGCCCAGGTCGTGATGAGGTCAAAATTTTGCCCCGAATCGCCAGCGAGAAACCGAAAGGTTGAGAAGTTACTAGCTGGAACGCACTGCTCAATGCACCTGCATTAGCGTTTACCTTTCCTTTTTTTCTTTAGCGAACGTCAAAGTTGCGCTGTGGAGCAACATGCTCCACTTCAGTAACCGGCCACTTTTAGGCGACGATACCTATGCGGCACCAAAAGCGGCTCACACTTTCGACGTTGCACAGGGGAACAACGATACGGCTTGCTACTGATTGACTCCTCCCCGCTTAGCTCGATATCGGGTTCGATCACCGTCGTGTCTCCGGGACGGTCCGACAACACATACCCAAACTCGGAAACAATCTTTCTCAGGCCCTCTTTCTCAGGTCCTCTTTCACTTAAGCTAGGCTCTAGGTTTATCTGCTCCCGGATTACTTTCGATCCCCTTTCGATCACCTCACTAGAACTCAAATTTTCTGCTTCCTCTTCCTTTGAAGCATTCAACACCAGATTTACGACCGCTTGATGTTGAACGTATGGTTTCATCAAGTTGTAAATTTTGTCCGGCCGCCTTCCTAATTTCACTTCAAAATTTGTATCGCAAGGCTTCGATAATACTTTGGCGGGCCCTTCCCAATCAACCTCAAGCTTGTTCCTTTTGAACGGCTGCAGCAGCATTACCTGACTCCCTACTTCAAAAGCACGCTTCTTCACCGATTTCTCGTAGTGCTCCTTCGACAGCACTTTTGCCGCGTTTTTCTGGCTTTCCACTAGCGCTTCAATTTGGCTTTCCACTAGCGCTTCAATCTGGCTTTCCACTAGCGCTTCAATCGAGAGATCCTCACTCTGCTCTCGAATGAGCGTCTCTCGATCAACTCTCGGCAGCTCGCTCCAACTTTCCGCTACAGGCGAGAGCGTTGCAGCCCTCTCGCTCTGACTCAATGGCGCCATGTCGTCTCCCCTTTCTCCGGAAACCGCGCCGGTCGTGTAGGCGACGGGCCGCTCGCGTGACTGCTCACATGACTCACGCGGAAAATTTCCTCTCTGAGGTTCCGTCGACCCGCCGACAAGGTCACTTGAGCGTTCACCGCATTGAACCAGATCAAGCTCCTGCGAAAGCTTTCGCGCTTGCGATCGCGTGAGGGCCATGCACGCTAAGTTGGGGAAGAACGATTTGCCCTGCTCTTTGAGAAGCTGCTCCGAGTTGTTGGAGAAAAGATAAGGAAAACGATCATTTAGCGCGGCAGACACAGCTGCTTCGGTGCGAAGCTTACCGAACGGGCCTTCAATGACAACCGTGGCGATTGGTAAGCGAACACTCTGCACCTCGGCGACTTGCCTGATCCACGCGCATTCTCCTGTGAAGTCATCCGGAGACACCAATGAAGGATGGACAACGTCCATGGTTGCCGCTGAGTCTCTAAGTGCTCGGCACGTTTTCTCATTCACCCTAATTTCTTGGAGATACGGCTCCAACAACCGAATGTTTTTTTCTGATTCTCGGATCGTTGCGAAAGCAAACTTTTCCTGACAGTTTCTCGCGATGTGCCCTTCCTTTTTGCAGTTGTAGCAGATTAGCGGCTTCCGTTTGTTTTCCGATTCAAATGCCTGTGTGGTAGAAACCTCACTCGATTTCTCCGCTTCTGCTTGCCCTTCCCCTACACTGTCCTTAGTAAGAGACGGGTCCTTTTTGAAATTACGGTGCGGAACGGGTTTCCGTTGATCAGGTTTCCTTGAAAAGCCCTCTTTTCTCTCATCTTTTTCAACGCGCACTGCCCTGCTGTGCAACTTTCGGCGAGTATAATACTCCTCAGCTAACTCTGCTGCCTTGTTTAGCTGTACTTCACTA